GCCAAGCATGTAACAGGTGGGTAAGGTGAGCCCGGACAGTTGGGTGGACCTTGCAAGCAGCAGAGCAGAAGTGGCAAGCAGTCCTGACACAGAAGGTCCCCACAGGCCCCAGCAAGCGTAGGTTCTAGAAGCAACCCCACCACAGTAAGCTCCCACAGATTCTGGAGAGTTCCAGGGTAGGACCAAGAAGCTTCCACTGGCAAGCAGTAGAGTAGGTCCTGTCAAGGGCCACATATGTGACAGGACCCACAAGAGGTAACTAGTGGGCCTGCTCCACACTGGCTACAGTTCCTGAAGCAAACCAGAGGGACACTATTCAGAGAGATAGTCCCATGGATAGGAGCAGGATTATTCCCTGGACAATAGAAAATAGTAGAGGCAAGCACAGATTTAACAGGGTTGACCATGATGACAGTCCGCTACATCAGAAGGACGTAAGTGGAGAAGGATCCTGTTACTGTGGTCTGGAGCATGAAACAGAGGTGGCTTAGTCAGCTCAGCCAGAGGTCCTGGGGAGAGGGGAACAGAGGTTGTCTGTTGGCACAGACAACTTCCTAGAAACAAGGGGAAACCTTGCTGAGAAGCTGGGGTGCCCCACACAGGCTGGGTCCCCCTGAGAGATACAGCACTCAGTTCTGACCTGATCTCCTCCTTCACATCCCCTGAGACTTGTGCTTACGAGTAAGGCCACTGAGCACACAGAGACAGGGGAGCCTCTCATCCTGACCCCCAGAGAGGAGGGATTTAGGGGTAGAGGGTCACAAACATAAGCCAGCCACACCCAACTCATCATGCCAACATTCTTTCTGGCTTATTTCACTAAGCATGATCCCTCCCAGCTCCATCCATGTTGCTGCAAAAGGCATGTAGTTGCTGAGTAATATTCCATTGTGTATATGTACCACATCTTTTTAATCCAGTCATCTACTTTTGGGCATTTGGACTGTTTCCATGTCTTTCCAATTGAAATAAAGCAACAATAAACACAGGGGTGCAGGTATCTTTTTGAATCAGTGTTTTTGTGTCTTTTGGACAGATACCTAGGAGTGGAATTGCTAGGTCATATGGAAGGTCCATGTTTAGCATACACTGCTTAACTTTCTAAAATGGCATTTTCCCCTGATGGCACAATATATAGCATAAATATTGAAAAACAAATACAAGACATGGCAGTTCTTACAAGTGCTTCTGTTTTGAAGTAGTCAATTGAACTTAATGATTAAGCCAACTGGAGACCTTCAGTGTGATAAGCTGATTTTCAATCCAAAGGTCCAACCTATGTCAGTGGCATGTATTCAAGGATAGAATTCAGGAAGTGGAGATAAACATGCACAAAATAATCTTGTTATAGGCAACCCAATGTGGACTAGGTTGCCTGTCTGTGGCTCCTCACCTGTGCACTTAAGATTTAATTGTACTGCAGGCACACACAAAAAAAGGTCATTAATGGGCTTATTCACTCAGGGACTGGGAATGATGAGCTAGTGAACCAAACAACAAATAAGAAATTACAATGTGATAAATGTCAGGAAGAGTACTTGTGCACGGGGTGATAACCATAGACTGGGTATACAGGAAAGATCTTTTTGAGGAGGTGACATTTAACCCAAGACCTAAGTCATCAAAGAAGGCGATAGCCATATGAAACTCTGGATGAAGAGTGTTCAAGCAAATGATATAATAAAAAGCACTTGAAATTTTGAGCTTCTCTTGGAAATTGCAAAATGTTTTACCAAGTATTTCAAGTACACAGGACATTTTGTTACTGGAAACACGGATAGAGAAAGTGTTACACTTGACAAAATATCTTATTCTGAAGACTTGGTAAATGAT